CCTTAGGCACTATGCTACCAGAGGCTTGCTTTATGGCTTAACATATGGTCTGTCCTGGAGAATATTCCATGTGCACTGGAAAAGAATGTATATTGTGCTGTTGTTGGGTGAAGTGTTCTGAGATGTCTATAAGGTCAAGTTGGTGGATTGTGTTTGACTGCTAATCAGAAGGCTAGTGGTTCAAATCCACCAGCCACTCCTTGGAAGGAAGGTTGGGCAATCTACTTGTGATATCACCTTGGAAACCCAAGGAGGGGTTGCTATGAGTTGGGTCCAACTCGACAGCAGTGCATGCACACATGCATACATCTTTGTTGAGTTTCTTTCTTGTTCCATCTTTCATTGAAAGTGGTGTATTAAAGTCTCCCACTATGATTGTGAAGTCATCTGTTTGCCTTTTCAGTTCTTTTAAAATCTCATTTATGTATTTTGGGGATCATTCATTGGGTCCATAGATTTTTATTATGGTTATATCTTCTTGTTCAAGTGATACTTTAATCATTATACAATGTCTTCCTTGTCTCATATGGTTTTTGTCTTACAGTCAGTTTTATCAGAAATTAATATTACCACTCCTGCTCTTTTTTGGTTGCCATTTGCTTGATATATCTTTTTCCAACCTTTGATTTTTAGTCTATTTTTGTCTTTGTCTCTAAGGTGTGTCTCTTGTAGATGGCATATTGATGAGTTTTGTTTTCTTATCCAGTCTGCAGCTCTCCATCTCTTGATTGGTGCATTTAATCCATTGACATTCAGTATAATTATCAATAAGTATGAATTTCTTGCTGTCATTTTGTTATTTGTTTTTTCATGGTGATCCTCATTTCTTTGTTCCACATAATTTTCTGTGCTGAGCTCATTATGTTTATGAATCATGTTGTCATTTCCTTTGTTGCTGTTGTTTTAGTATTTGCTAAATATTTGTGCTTGTCCTCTTTTTCATTGTGATGTGAAGGATTATCATTTTTCTTTGTGATTACCTTTTTATTTATACTTTTCTCCCCGAGTTTAGAACAGTCCATTCTATCTTGCAACTCTCGACTTCCTCACCATTTAGAAGTTCTGTAACTACACTATTTTCTCCCCTCTTCTTGGTTTGTAGTTGTCCTCATTTGCCAATTGATGTCTGGTTCCCTGTTTACAATCTTGTAAGCTCATTTTACTTTGGATACTTCCATAGCTGTGTTGGTTTCTGGGTTATGTCATCTTGTGTTAATGGTTGGTTGTTGTTTCCTATTATTGGTTCTCTGTTCAAAGGCTCCATTTAGTATCTCTTGTGAGCTTGGTCTGGTTTTAACAAATTCCATTACTTTCTGCTTATCTGAAAATGTCTTAATTTCACCATCACATTTGAGGGACAATTTTGTCGGGTATATAATTCTTGATTGGAAATTTTTCTCTTTCAGGGTTTTATATATACCATCCCATTGCCTTCTCACTTGCATGGTTTCTGCTGAGAAATCCAAGCTTATTCTTATTGGTTGTCATTTGTAACTAACTTTTCATTTTTCCTGTGCTGCTTTCAGAGTTCTTTCTTTGTCTTTGGTTTTGGTGAGTTTGATGATGATATGTCTTGGTGATTTTCTTTTAGGGTCTATCCTGTTTGTGGTTTGTTGGACTTCTTGAATGGATATATTCTCATATTTCATCATATCAGGGAAGTTCTCTTCCACCAAATCTTGGACAATTTTCTCAGTGGTTTTCTTTTTCTATTCCTGTCCTGGAATTCCATTTACATGTAAGTTATTCCTTTTGATGGTATCCCACATGAGCCTTAGGCTTTCTTCATTTTATTTTTATCTTTTTTTTTCTGATTGATCCCTTTCCAAAGAAGTATTCAGATATTTATCTTCAATTTCATTAATTCTGTCTTCCATTGATTCAATTCTACTTCTTTGCCCTTTCAATGTGTTATCTATTTCTGACAATTTAGTATTAATCTTCTGGATTTCTATCTGTATATTTTGTGTCATTTCTAATTTTTAATTTATTTTGTCATTCTGTTCTTGTATTGTATTCCAAAATTGTTCCAGGTTTTTGTCTGTGTTTTCCTTAATTTTATCAGTGTTTTTTTTTTAACTGTCTCTAAACACTTTGCACTCGATGGCAAATAACAACAACAAATAACAACAACAAACACTTTGCAGATACCTAGATATAATTCTTTTGAATTCCTTATCAGGGAGTTTCAGTGCTGCTTGTTCCTCAGAGATGTGTTCTGGGTCTGTATCCTGCTCCCTTGATTCTACCACTTTAGCTTGCTTCTTTGTGTGGACTGTGATGGTCTCTTTTCTCTGAGGCATTGTGACATTGTTGTATTTAGATCTCTGTTAACTGTTTGTGAAGAGCAGTTGAGGGTATGTCAGGCTCCTCTTGGTGGTAATTTATCATTGGCCAGTTGGTGGAGAAGGAAGTGGTGGTTCTCACCCTGTAAGTGGAGCTGCAGGAGGTGCAGGTGTAGTTGTGTTGTATGGGCACTGTTTCTGTCTCCCACTCAGTTAGACAAAAATAGCAATCAAATAACCATAAAAAAAAAAAAAGTGGACAAAAATTCACCATATAAACTCACAGGAACAATAATCAAAAAAAGAAAAAAAGAAAAGAAAAACTCTTCAATATCTGGGTAGAAGGTAATCAGAGAAAAAAAGGTACAGTAGGAGAAAAATGAAGAAAAATTGGGAAAAATGTAAAAAGGAAAACAAGGAATGAGCTTAACCACCAGAAAGAAAAAAATGGGAACCAGGAACAGGGAAGAGAGAAAAATCTAAAAACTAGAACCTGGGAAGGGAAGAATAAAGAATAATAATACAAAGGACAAAATAAATAATAGAATAATAATTTTAAAACAGACAAAAAGAAACAAACTAATAAAAAAGGAAAAAAAATATATATATGGGCAGGGCCAAGCAGGGTGCCCAGGTTTTGTCCCAGCACACAGACTGGAATGGAATTCCTGCCAGCCCAGACGGTAGGTGGGAGTGAGGGATAGCTGCTTCTCCATTCAACAAGTGTGTGTGGGATCTAAGAGTAACAAGGGGAATATTACACATTTCCAGTTGTTCATGTCCCGAATGTCCTCATGTTTTCTGGCAAGTGGAGCCTATTCTTTAGTCCCTGGAATCTAGGAGAACACTGTCTCCTTAAATACCCCAATTGTCTATCTGCTTGTAAACATTCAAAATGGCTGCACCCTCCAGACAGACAAAAGTCCACAGCTCAGCCTGAATTCCTCTTAGCTGTTTCCCCTATTATTCACCAGCCACCAATCACCAGTAAAGTCCTCCCTGCAGCCCCTGGCTAGCAGGGCTTTTAGGTTACTTCTTAGGTCCTAATACCACTCTGCAATATCCAAGCTGTCCATGCCATCAGAATTGCTGACAGACCGCAGCTCTGTATGTCTCCTTTCTCAGTGTTTTCATGCAGGTTCTTCTACTAGTTGGAGTTTGTCTACTTCTATATCCTTCCCTTCAAAGCTCAAGGCTCCAGCATTATCTTCTGTTTCTGTGCTAATTGACTCCCTTTTTCTTTGTTGAAGAGGGTCTTTGCAGTCTGTCTACCTATTCTGCCATCTTACCAGAACCCCTTTTATGGTTTCTTGAAGTAGTGTTTTATAGTTTCTTTATACAGGTCTTTTGTATCCCTGGTAAGATTTATTCCCAAGTATTTAATTTTTTTGGTAACTATTGTAAATGGTATTGATTTCCTTATTTATTATTCAGCAATTTATTTGCTGGTGTAGAGGAATCTAACTGATTTTTGCATGTTGATTTTGTATCCTGCCACTATGCTAAATCTGGAACTAATTGAGTTCCAGTAGTTTTTGTGTTAGTCGCTTGGGTTTTCTAGGCATAGGATCATATCATCAGCAATTAGGGATAGTTTGACTTCTTCCTTACCAATTTAGATGCCTTTCATTTCCCTTTCTTGCTTTATTGCTAGACTTCCAATACAGTGCTGAATAGAATTGGTGATAGAGGGCATCCTTGTCTGAGGTACTGGCTGCACATGCATGAAGTCCCTGGACCCAGGTTCAAGCCCCACTGAGATATTCTTGCTTTCCCCTGCCTCTTGCAGAGGGTCACTCTGTCATGTTGATTTGTACTGTACATGCTCTTCACCTAGTGGACACTTGGTAAGAGACTTAAAAAACAATCTGGGAGATTTATTGACATTTTACAGCTGGTCAAGCTTATGGGGGTCTTTGAAGCATGACCTCTTATTTTGCCCCAGCACCTGACTTGCCAGCTGTAAGAAGTTCTCTGCTTCAGCAGCAGGAATTATGTGGTAGTCTGTACGTATGCTTAAGTTCCAAGAATACATAGTCATAGGCTGTTTGATTCCGCCAGCCCTACGTGTCTCAATATGTCTTTTGGCCTATTTAAAAAAAAAAAAAAAAAAAATGCCATCAAGTCAATTCTGACTCATACTGCCCTTAGAGGATGAATTGGAACTGCTCCAAAGGTTTCCAGGACTGTAAATCTTTACAGAATCAGACTGCCTCTTCTTTCTCCCACTGAGTGTCTGGTGGGTTTGAACTGGTGACCTTTTGATTAAAAGCCCAATGCTTTAACCACTGCCCCACCAGAGCTGATTTTGTTTGTTTGTTTGTTTCTTTGTTTGTTTATAAAGGCTTTTGAAAAGAAGTATTTCCTCAGCTCTTCCTTATCCCTCTTACCTACTTAGGCTAGGGCTTTTATCATCTTTCCCTCAAAGGCTTTGAAATGTCTGGGGCTATTCCATGCCTTTCTTTCTCTTCCAGGAAGGAATTCCTGAGGCAGAAGTGGGCTGCTATGACCCTCCAGGCCAACTGGAGAGGCTTCAACACTCGGAAAAATTTCAAGCTGGTGAGAAAACAATCTAAAGAGGCTGGGTCTGGGAGCAAAGGGTCACTCTGCCCAATAAAAAGCAAATTTAAAATGTTTGTTTAAATGTGAAATCACAAGTAGGAAGGATTAATCACTAATAGATGTGGCTTACACACTTTGAAATAATTAGACCGCAGCCTCACCCTAGTGCACTACTTTCTTCCTCTCTTTTTACTTTTTCTGCACGAGAAGTTGTTATTAGCACAAAAATTAGTGTCTAGATCAGCAATTCTCAAAGTGAGTAAGGTATGGTGAGATCAGAATCATTAAGAGGACTTTTCCAAAACTGTTTATGGTGCTCCTACCCCTAATTCCAGAAATTCTAGCATGTGCCCCAGGGGAGCCTCCCTTAACCAAGAATCACTGTTTTAGTGAGTTATTTACTCAGTGGTTCTCAAACATTAGAATGTTAGAGTCACCTGAAGCCTTGGTAAACAGATTGGTGTGTCCTTACCCCAAATTTATTATCCAAGAAATTGTATTTCTTACACATTCCCAGGTGATGCTGATGGTACTGATCTGGGGACCACACTTGGAGAAACACTGCTTTTTTTTTTAATTGTGGTAAAAAATATATATCAAAACATTTGCCATTTCAACCATCTTCACATGTACAATTAAGCGATAATAATTATGTTCACCATGTTGTGTAACCATTACCACCATCCATTGCCAAATGTTTTTATTATCCTTAACAGAACCTTAGTGACCCTTAAGCAATTGTTCCCCCCCATACGCTCTTTTTAACAGTCTCCGGTTGTATGGTTTGTGGGCTGCTAACTCGATGGCAGTGAGGTTTTTTTTTTTTTTTTTCCAACTATTCTGCAGAATTTTAGGCATCTCTAGAATAGCATTGAGGTGACCTGTCTCTGAAATTAGATCATGGCTGCCTTTTCAGAATTTGAAGGCAAGAAAATAAGTTAATGAATAGATTATTCTGTTTCAAACATTCCTTCCTAATTTTTTTAACCACTGGCACTTGCTAATGAGTGTCTGCTACACAAATGAACTAGGGCAACCTTGAAGTTATCCTGTATGCCAGCAAAACTGACCCAGGCTATGTTTTTAGAGGCAGTCTATCAGTGTCCCAAGTTCACAAAGGTATAGTAGTAGCTGACATGTACAGAAAGGCAACTCAGGGCCAATTACTCTTCATGCATCATTTCATTTAAGGTAGATATTATTTCAAGGAAACTGAGGCATAGAGAGATTAAATAATTTTGCTTACTGTTAGTAAGCAGTAGAACTGGGAAATTGAATTATAATGATCTCAGAGCCTGTCTACTAACATGTGATGCTGCATATTCACCAGACAGCCTGAAGTAGACAACCACCTGACCCTCATCAGCTGGTCCTTGTGAAATCAACAAGTGCTCATCCCAGTTGTCTGACTGCTGTGGCCCTGGAGATATTTACAGCACAGAAGTGGATGTTCATCCACTTACTATTCCCTTGTATTTTTAATATCCCTTGAAGGGTTAGCTCAATGAAGCAGCCATAGACCTCTACACATATATGCTAGCTCCTGACCAGTTGGATGGACTTGCTCACAGATGTGAAAAGTGAGGTTTCTGGAAACTATTTACCATGTAAAAATCCAAGCCAATTCTCTATTAACAGCCACCAGGGGCCCTTCATTCTTTATGCTATATAACTCGTGCTTATTTAGCACTTGTTGGTGTGCCAGGCTCTGTTCTATGTACTGTACAGGTAATAACTCATTTAATATGACCAAATTCAAAGTGTGTAAAATTTTATCATTAGCCCTTTGCAGAAGACTGTGAGGTTTCCCCAGGACTACTGCCTGCTCTCTGTTCCCTCTGAGAAGGCCCTACACTTTGCACTCTGCAGGGCCCAAGCCTCCCATGAATGCACTCCCTCTCTCCTTGCAGATCCTCTTAGGCTTTGAGCGCCTGCAGGCGATTATCCGGAGCCACTTGCTGGCAAGGCAGTACAAGGCCACAAAGGAAAGGATGGTCCATTTCCAGTCCCGGTGCAGGGGCTACCTGATACGCCATGCAGTCCAGGAAAGGAGAAGGGCAGTGGTGGTCATCCAGGCACATGCCCGGGGCATGGCTGCTCGGCGAAACTTTCAGAGACAGAAAGCCAACGTTGGTGGTCCCCTCTGTCTTGGGCAGGTGAGGCAGGCTAGGGCCAACATGGGGAGGGCAGGCAGTGAGAGTGAGGGGCAAAATAGAAAATAAAAACCTTTGGAAAGTCCTCACCCTCAAGCCAAATGATTAAAAAATGAATGGTCTACAAGAACACAGCAATAATACAGGAGGTAAACTAGGAGACTCCTTGTGGGCTGAACTTTAGATGCCACAAGGGCTATGCCTTTACCTCTTCCTGTTCAAAGCTGTTAGTGCAACGTCCATCAAGGCATCCAGAAACCATTGGTTGACCCCCTAAGATGGATGGATATAGCACTGGAGAGGTAATACACCAGCAGGGACTTTTTTTTTTTTTTAAGACAAGAGAAGTAGAGCAGTCTTACATCTGTAATCTGGATGTCATGTTCCTCAGCCCTCTTTGCCAAGACCAGCCCACACTTGGGGATGGTTTCTTGGAAGGTCTTTTCCATCCTCTGGAAAGTGCAGGAAACTGGGGCTAAGTGAGCTCTGGGAGAGCATAGTTTCATGGAGAAGCACAAGGTCCTGGTTATTGGAATGTGGCATGAATTCTCAGGGGCAGAGAAACACCAAGGTAGCTATAAGGGTGCCTGGTAAGATTAGGGAAAGGAACCAAGATGCATATTCATGCATTTTAAAATTTTACCCTTGAAAGACCTGACTTCTCCAGGGAGCACCCTCAACTTAACCTCATTCCTCCAGACCCCACTCAGTGGAGAGTGGTTACAAGCTAGGACGAAGGCATGGTTCTGCTGAGCAAATTTCTAGTTTGGTGAACAAGGCTACAGAATAAACTGTTAGACATAAGCTGCATGCTTCTGTACCCAAGTGATCCCAGGCTGTTTACAAAACAGCTTTACCTGTGCGTTAATTAGTACAGGCCCAGAGACCTCCACTGCTGGGGTTGTGATGCTCTGTGAATGGACTGAATGGGCCTCAGCAGTTGTTATGCAGCTGGATGCTGGTCCCTATGGCCTGAGGAAAGGCTTCAGGAACCAGGTAGTATTGGAAATGGGTCCATAGGCCTCTCCCCACTCTGGGCCTTTGATTCTCCACTAGGAATGTAAAGCTCCATTTGCATGGTTTCCAGTCACTTCTAGCTATCAAAATTTCTAATTTTAGAGTAAAATCTATTTGAACCTATTATGCCTGGATGAGATGTGTTTAGCTTCTGTGAAATGCTTAGCCTGGGTGGCTATAATAGTTGTTCATGTGCCCCTGAGCACAGTGGTGCCTGAGGTAACCTCCTGTCATGGATGCATGCAGGCACCACTGGTCATCCCAACTCCACAGCAGAGAAGCCCAGGTTTTGTCCCTGCCAAGAAGCACAAATCCATCTATGACACCATCACAGACACGGAGATGGTAGAGAAAGTGTTTGGCTTTCTCCCTTCAATGATCGGAGGGCAGGAAAGCCAGGCCTTAACAGGCTTTGAGGTAAGACACACCTTTATCATGCTAGTGTTCTGCCCCAGGTGAAGGTGGAAGCATCCCTCACAGTCCCTGACCTCTGGGTGTGGGGGAGCAGCTAGATCAGGTGATCAAAATGAACTTGCCAACCCCAGGGTGCACACCTTGCCAGTGGCTAGCTGTTTCCTGAAAGACCTACAGGTCTACACCCCTCTCTCCCACCTGGCCCCCAGGATCTAGATACAAGGACCAGGCAGCTGCCTGAGGTGGATCTGGACACAGTCCCCATGGTGGAGGAGCCAGAGAAGGAGGTGGACAGTCTGGCTGAGTACACCTTCACAAAGTTCGCTGTGACCTACTTCCAGAAATCCGCCAGCCACACCCACATCCGGAGGCCCCTGCGGCACCCACTCCTCTACCATGAGAATGACATGGATTGCTCGGTAACCAGACTTGGAGTTTGAGCTGTGGTTGGGCAGGAACTGGAAGAGGCTGGGGTACTGCAGGGGGCAGTACTGCTGTTGGGGTTCCAGGAACATTCTGCCCATTTCCCCAGGCTGCACTAGCCGTGTGGAACATCATCCTGAGGTTTATGGGGGACCTCCCGGACCCAGTGCTCTTTGCCAAGACCAGCTTGAGTGGCAGCTCAGTGATACAGAAGATCCACAACAACCTGGACATCAAGGGAAGCACCCAGTCTCTACAGTGTGGCAAATCTGAACAGGTGTGGTGTGAGGCTAGCAGGCAGAGGAGGTTAGCACCCAGCTCTAGGCTTGGGAGAAGCCAGACAAGAAGAGGGAGGTGAGACATGAACCCAGCCCTTAATCTAGGGTCACCCAGGGCTGTTCAGTCTTTTATTGCACTCGGAATCCCGGACTTGAGGATCTCACCTAGGACTTTTTGTCCATAAGATCATTAATGGAGGGGCTTCCCTGGCTCTGAATATTAGATTTCACTTGAGCAGGATTCAGATACATACAATAACAGCACAATGGATGCTGTTGCTTGCTTCTCTCTTCATTTAATTCCCAGGTGAGCCACACTGCAAGGTAGGGACTATTATGTTTATTTTATAGCTGAATAAACTGAGACTCAGAAAGGTGAAGTGGTGTACCTCCAAATCACAGTGGATATGTGTGATGGATGGGATTTTAATGTATTATGCTTAATTCAAAGACCAAGCTGTTGGCTCATGCACTGCCCTCCCCTCTACTGAAAGGTTAATTCACATTAATTTTCATTTCAGTCAAAAGTCCTTCCTAAGCCCCCAGTTTCAGGATGTAGTCTTGGTGGAACTAAGAAAAGTTGAAAGGACTTATATGGCAGGGCCCACCTGCAGTAGGAACACATGACCACCCCATACTCCAGGTAACTGACGAGGGCTGTTTTTAGATACTGTTGGGAGCTTTTGAGTAGATTAATTGTGTAGAAATCTCTGAGAGTTTGCAGACTGGAATCAGATGGTCACAAGCCTTGACCCTCTGGTCTCTGTAGGTATTGGCTGTACCAGAATGTATTAGTTATCTATGGCTGTTTAACAAATTATCCCAAAATTTAGACGCTTAGAACAACAAACATTCATCACCTCATATGCTTCCTGAAAGTCAGGAATCAGGAGCCACGTAGCTGTGTTGTTCTGGCCGTCTTTCATGAGGCTGCCGTTAGGATGTCAATTGGGTCTGCAATCATCTGAGGTTTGATCTACTTCCAAGATGGTGCACTCATAGGGCTATTAGCAGATTTCAGTTCCTTGCCTTGTAGACCTTTCCACAGGGCTTCTTGAGTATCCTCAGGATGCGGCATCCAGCTTCCCTCAGAGCTAATAACCCCAGAAACAAAACAATGAGGAAGCAACAATCCTGTCTTGGAGATCATACCCTATCACTCTGTCATACTCTGTTGGTCACAGAGACAGAGAATGAGGTGGACAGTCTGGCTGAACCTTCACAAAGTTCACTGTGACCTACTTCCAGAAATCAGCCAGCCACACCTACATCCAAACCTGATATATTGTGGGAAGAGACCACACAAGGGTGTAAGTGCTAGAAAATGGGATCATAAGGCCTGGAGGCTGGCAGCCACACAGGAAGGGACCCCCACCACCTTGTCCTTCTGGACACTGATCACAGGGAAAAGCACCCCTCGAGGTGCCCTTCCTGTACATGTTATGAGTACCCACCATGTGCTTCCTCACTGCCACCTCAGGAAGTTGGCCAGCTATCACAGGACACATTTAGTCCCTGCAGCACACTAGCTTATTTTTGTGTGCCATAGTCAATTCCAATGTATAGCAAACCTATAGGAGGGGCCGACTCGATGGCAAATAACAACAACAAACAACATAGGACAAAGTAGAATTGTCATAGGGTTTCCTAGGCAGTAATCTTTACAGAAGCATATGGCCAGGTATTTTCTCCTATGGAGTATCTGTGTAGGTTTGAACCTCCAACTTTTTAGTTAGTAGCTGAATGCTTAGATATTGCACCACCAGAGCTCCTTATTACTAGCTTACTTAGAAAGAAAACACAGCCCCTCACCTTCAACCAAAAGCAGACAGACCCTGGACCTGAGTGGCTCCAGCCTAAGATAACCTAGACCCTGGCTACTGACTGGCTCTCATGCCTCATTCTGCACAAATTTTTATTTTGGCAGCAAATTCTTCCCAACCCTAATCACGACAATGAAACCTCTGCCTAAGGAGACAGATCACAAGGGCAGGGGCAAGTTGTCATTGTCCAACAGCTTGCAGCCTGAGTTCTGATTTATGCTTTGCAGTGGCAGAGAGCATTCAAGTTCACTCATCAAATCTTTACTGAGATCAGCCATGGCATGAGTGCAGTGAGATCTGGGAGAGATAGGGGACCTGCACAAGGCTTTATAAATCTGACAGAAATGGCTTGATGAGATGGGATTGCCTCAGCCTAGGGGACTTTGTGGAATTAGTGTCATGGATGGGATGGGTGCATGGGCATGAGGAAAAGTGGGGAAGCACTCACTAGCAGGACTAGAGCTGATATCACGGAGGCCTATGGGAGTTTGGGAGGCATGTGCGTGGGGAGTGGGGAGAGTTCTCTGAGTCTGAGTCTATGACAATGAAGCAGGAGGCTGGTGTAGATGTAAGTCAGGCAGGTGATGACCACTAACTCTAAAAGATCTGACTGGGCTAAGAAAAGAGGTCAGCGCTGGAACTAAAAGACTGTGAAGCATATGTGGCTCTCATGGCTGAAGCTAAGACATAAATGAGAGCTGTAAGGTAAGGGGTCACTCATCCATACTCCTCTTGTCTTGAGTCATCTTCACCCCAAGGACTCTAGTTCAGGCCTGAGCCATGCACAAGGACCCAGGGACAAGTTCACAGGGACCCAGAAACAAGCCCAACTTAGTACCATGGAGTCCATAAAATAGTAAAGGACTGTCACATAAACTTCATGCCTGTGTGTACATGGAACACCCAGGAGTAGCAGGGAGTCTGTCCCTGGAGGCCTCAGGAGAATAGGTACAGCAGAGAGAAGAGACACCCAACAAGGAGAGTTCCATGCCAATACTCAAGGCAGGGGCAGGCAAGGGTAAGAAGCAGAAAGCAGAGGGGCAAGGGGCTATGGGGCCTACAGGTGAGTACTTGGATGGGCAGGTGAGCATAGAACCCAGGGGAGGGTTGAGACAAGGGGTTTGTCTGTGGTTGTCTTGTGAGAGCTCAATCTATTGACCTCCCTTCCAGATCACCCCATTCTCCTCCAGCTAGGGTCCAGCTCACCTTTCCTCAGCAACTGTTTCCTCCCACAGAGGCTCAGCCCCCGGGACAGAGGAACCAAGGAGATCCCCTCTATGAAGCTGAAGCGATCTTCCTGGATCACAGGCCAGGTGAGACCAGGTCTAGGAGATTTTAGTTCTGGTCCCACATGGGCTCCAGGCTTCATGCCTCTTAGAGCCCCAGTATCCTCCTTGGCAAATGGAGAGTCACATTGGTCCTGACTGCTGTCTTTGGGTCTCAAGGTGGTCAGCCAAGTGAGCATTGAAGAGGAGGCATTTGAGCCCAGTGGCCCCATCTCAGACCGACCCATGTCCAACCTGGAGAAGGTACACTTCATTGTGGCCCATGCCATCTTACAGCCCAACCTCAGGTTTGTGCCCATGCCTACCCCTCCATTCAGGACAGCAGATTCCCTCATTAGCTCTCACCCATGTCTACACCTCTCCTCTACTCCCCAGGAAAAAACACCCCCCAACTCTCTACTCCTTGTTCTGGGGCCTCCAGACTAGTCTTAGTTCTATAAATAGTATAGCCATCAAGGGTTCTCTATTTTCTCTGCATTAAGAAAACCCATGAGTAAAACCCAGTTCTATGCACACAGATTCATTATGGGGTGGTGATTCATTTTAGAACAGACTTTAGTGCAGGCTTTGTATAAATGAGTAACTTTCTTTATATGATATATATTTTGCTTTATACAATTTGCTTTACAGGGATTAAGTTTTTATGCAAAGTTTAAGAAGCACATAATGCCTTAATGGACAGACTCCTATATTTTAGATTTTCATTTATTTTAGACTATACTCTTTAAGCAAATTTGGGAAATTATATATAGCTCTGGTTGCATAATGCCTAAGGCACTTGACTGCTAACCAGGAGGCTGGCAGTTCAAACTCACCAGCCACTCCTCAGAAGGAAGGTTGGGCAATCTACTTCTGTAGTGACACTGCCTCAGAAACCCAAGGAAGGGTAGCTATGAGTTGGGTCCAACTCAACGGCACATAACAACAACAATTTCTGCAAACATATATTTTCTGTCCCATTCTCTCTCTCTCCTCTCCTCCTGAAACTCTGACTAAACTTATGTATAACCTTTCAATATTGTCTTTCAGGTTCCTGAGGTTCTGTTTATTTTATTGTTCTTTTCTCTCTCACTCTCTCTGTTCTTTAGGTTGGAAAATTGCAATTGAGCTGTCTTCAAATTCACTTATCTTTTTTTTTTCCTGTCTTCCCAATCTGCTGTTATGCCCATCTAGTAATTTTTTTTTTTTACTTCAGATACTGTATTTTAATATTTATATTATACACTTGGTTCTTTTCTTTTCTTCTTTTCTTTTTTAAATAGTTTTTTCCCCTCTATCAAGATTTTCTCATTGCTTTTTTACTATCAGCATAGTTTCTTTTATGTCCTTGAGTATAATTATAAAGGTTTTTGAATCTTTTTCTGGTAAATTAAACATCTAGGTTTGGTATTGGTCTCCATTTACTGCCTTTTCTCTTGAGGTTTGTCATGTTTTCCTGTTACATCCTAGTATGTTTAATACTTTATGTTTCTTTCATCAGGACATATGTCTAAAACTAGATAGAATGTCTTGTGTCTTGAGTATTGAGGATTGTACATTTAGAAAACCCAGTTTCTGTTGTATTCTTTCAAAGAGTGTTGACTTTTCTTTCAGCAGGCAATTAACTTGGCTGTATTCAAACGTGTCCTTTACACAGGCAGCAGCTGGAATCCTTGTTTAGTTACTTTAGCCATAGCTCCACTGCCTGCAGTCAACTCCACTCAAGCAGAGATTAGCGGTCCGGCCAGAGATTTAAGAAGATATATGCAGGATTTAAGACTTCCCTCCTCTGGTCTTTCCTTTCTGAGATTTTCTTCCTTACATTTCATCTGCTTTGGTTACCCCAAACTTTGTGCTCTGATTCTTTAAGCCAGTAAAACTACAGGGCTTCTATCTGACTTTTAGGTCCCTTGCATGACACAGACTGAGTAACTTTTCTAACTTTATTTGAGCTGTGGATAGTTCTCTCATGACTTAAATCTCACTGGCCACCATATCCTCCAATATGGCAGACATTTGTAAGCTGTGTCTAAGTGAGGTGCATTGTGGGTTCTTCAGATACTCCCTGCGGGAACTTTCACACAGTGTCAGTCTCCAAACTGGGCTGGCACCCTCATGTTTACTTGAGCTCCCCTGCTGACTCCAGCTCCCAATGGAACATCCCAAAGCTTCTTACTTCTGGGGTTTTCTGGAATGATGGGCTGCCTGCTTATGCAGGATCCCATCAAAATGCCTCAACCCAGTTCTTTCCATGGCATTCTCTTGGCCAACAAGTAAGTCATATGTCCTTGTCCCACGAAATAGTGAAATTCCCAGATCCTGACTGTTCTATGTTTAAGGGTACCTTGAGGGTAGCTTAAATTCTCTAGGAGAAAGTAGGCACCAATCTCTGTTTACGGAGAGCCCCAACTCCAGAGTACATGAGTAAAGCATTTTCAAGAACTCTGTCACCATGCTCCAGCCTAGTACCCTGGGGTGGGCTTCGGCAACTCAGTATACCTCAGATGGGAAGTGAGATGTGTCTTGTCTCTGGCACACAGCTCCTATTCCTGTTAGCAGTCCTTCTGAGATTCGCTTGGGTGCCCCTTACTCCTCCTCCCATCATTTGGAGGGAGTGGAGTTAGGCCAACAATCTCTCTACTGCTATGAAGTCCCTTACAGGAATCTCCTTCCAAATTTCTAGTTTTCTCATATGCAAGCTCAAGGTGAAATGGTGGCTGGATTAATTCTGCCCTCTTTTGGTAACTCCTAAGAGAATGTGTCTCTTTAAAATGTTTGATATTATCATCTGTCATTTCTGACTTTAGAGCTAAATCCAAGACAAAAGCAAATGCCCTAACCCACATTTGGTCACACATTCAATAAACATGCATTAAGCACCTGCTGAAGGTCAGGCCCAGGGCTGAGCTCTATAATGGAAAGAGGAAGACATGTCTTTGTCCTTGAGGAGCTCACTGCTTAGATTGGGGTCAAGGAGGATCAAGAAGGCCATAATTACTGGATGTGATAAGATGGGTCCAGTAAGGGCATCAAGGAGGAGTGGGCTTAATGCCCTCATGGACCAGGTGAAGTGTAAAGGAGGAAGGGTGCTCACCAGGTAGAAGGAGAAATGTGAACTAGGTTATAGTGCCTTGAAAAAACCTAATAATTATGGAATCTCAAGTGTCTCAACTTCAGGCATGGAGTGTGAATTCAGTCCTAAGGACAGTAGGGAAAAGTTTTAAGCAAGAGAAGACCATGTTCATAATTAATTTCTAAAAAGATCTTCCTGGGAACAACATTTAGGATTAAAGCCTAGGTGAAGGAGACCAGAAGGAAGCTGTTGTAGAGGTCACAGAGAGCTGATAAGGTATGACTTAGGGAGCAGGAGTGAGAGAAAGGACAGAGAAAACATTTAGAAGGCAAATGGTAGGATGTGGTCTGACTGGATTTGAGAGATGAGGCAAAGGGAAGAGTTTAGGATGAAGGTAGTGTAGAAAGAAGAGGTGAGCCAACTCATGACAGCCAACTGTGCACATCTCTTCCCACTTTGCATTTAGGGAAGACAGCATAGTGTAGCCTGAAATGGGCCTTGGTGGGAATATTTACACCATTCATCAGCACATTACTGGATATTAGGGGAACGACGTTGAGCTCTGGATGTGTGGGGTGAGAGGGTCTGCTTATGGGACATTCAAATGGGGCTCTTTTATAAGATGAAAGAGGGTTGAATCAATGAGGAAGAATCCAGGAGAATCCTCCTCCTTGCCCTGCAGGAAATGACAGAGGATAGGGGGTCATGAGCCTTTAGGAGTGGGAGCTGTTCAGGAGTAAGGAAGGTTCTCCCATGAAGTCTCCCCTTTTCATTCTGCAGTGGAGGGTGTGTATTGTATTCAGGGAAGGGGGTAAGGGCCTTGAGTTAAAGAGAGAAGGTTTGAAATAACTATAAGCAGAGCAGGTTGGCAAAGGGTTGGGCTGCCGAGAATAGAGCTGCTGGAAACCCCTGGGGACCTCCTTCATCCATATCTATAGCTGAAGAGCCAGGGCAGGGAAGACTGAGGGAGCAGCATAGTGATGAGAGAATTGTAGGGCAGACAACAGAGAGTGAGGAAGAGAACAAAGGCTTGAGGGGATGAAACGATGGAAAAAGGACTAGGGACTGGATTTGGTGAGATAGGAATAGGGTCTGTAGGCCCTGGGGTGCCATATCCAGCAAAACCACACAGGTCATGAAATGAAGTTACATGAAAGGATCAATGGTTTTCTTTTTTATTTAAAAGAAATGGGGGCCAGGCAGACGCCCTGCATGTTCTGCGAGAGCGACCCCTGATGCCTTTGTTCTACTTTATTTATATGTTTGTACATGATTACATCATTAGTCTTGGAAACCGTACAATCATCTTATTCTCTACAGAGTTAAAGTTTTACTCCTCTACGTGCTCAAGGACAACAGGTGGTCATTAAAACAATCACAGAAGTCTCCTCAGGAATGAGGAGTGTAAAATGATAAATGTTTACTAGGACACAGTGACGCAAAGTATGAAACATCCCAATAAGATAAAAACATGGACTACTGGAATAACATCTAAGTTTAATACTTTGATGTTTTGCCAATTAAGCATTTAACAGTGAGAGAGACCTTGTCATATCTTAAAGCAAACATTCAACCATAAGAGATGCCTTGTCATCTCTTAACTGTAATTAGAACATGTGCTTTGCAATCATGTTCTTTTGGGGGTCTTCTTCTTCATCCCCAACACTGGGGAAACAGCAGAAGTGGCTCAGTCTTGGGAGATGACAGGGTCCAGGTGGACCTGGGCAGGTGATGTTGATGGGGTGATGGTGAAGGCAGTTGGAGGTGAGGAGGCTGGGAAGGCCCAAGTGCTGAGGGCCACCCACAGACATGACCTCACCCAGGGTGTAGAAGAGACATGTGCCCACACCTGCCCTCTCAGTGGTCTATGTATTTCAGGGATGAGGTTTACTGCCAGATCTGCAAACAGCTCACAGAGAACTTCAAGAAGAGCAGCCTGGCCCGTGGTTGGATCCTGCTTAGCCTCTGTCTGGGCTGCTTCCCACCCTCAGACAGGTTCATGAAGGTAAGAGGGCCAGGATGGGGATGGGGAGGGTGGCTTCTGAAATCCAAGTCCTTGGATAATTCTCCTGTACCACAGACCAGGATAAGCAGCAGGGCTTATTGCTTCCCTAGACCTAGCTCATTCCAGCCCCAATTCAGTGTCCATAGGGCCATTTCACCGGGACTCTTTTGAGGCTAAAATGAGATGGTGGATGGCATTTTTGAGAGAATGACAAAGACATTTTGGGAGATGGGCACTGTCTGTGGGTCAGCTGCTGTGCCTCTTCTAGTCCTTAGAACAGAAATGGAGTGGGCATGTTGGAGGAGATATTCCCAAGTGTTAGAAGTCCCAGACTTTGATGCTGTAACACTCCTTTTTGTTCTGAATATAAAGTAATATGTGGAAGATAGAGAACTTCTAAAAAGAAAATAAACATCACTCCCATGCCCAGAGGTAACTTCTGTTGATATTTTCTTCTGGCCTTTTGCAATGTTACAGTGTCATACTTGTGACTCCACAGAAAATCAATTGGACTTCCTCACCTCTCCCCTGGGGCTGGGGCAGCAGGAAGCAGCTTTAATGCCATCTATTAGGAGCTCTGGTAGCGTAGTGCCTAAGGCACTTGACTGCTAACTAGAAGGCTGGCAGTTCAAACTCACCAGCTATTCCTCAGAAGAAAGGTTGAGCAATCTTCTTCCATAGTGATATGGCCTTGAAAACCCAAGGAGGGGTTGCTATGAGTCAGGTCTGACTTGACAGCACATAACAACAACAAGAACAACAACAACAACAATTATATAGTTGTCCCAGAAAATACTAGTTTTTGATACCTAACTTGTCAGTGGACATTTATGAGGCTTCCAATTGTTCATCACTATAAATAACACTTTTATTTAAATATATATATATATGTGTGTGTGTGTATATGTGTGTGTGTGGGAAGCAGCCCAGACAATGTCTATACACACACACACACACACATATGTATGTATGTATGTATGTATGTATATGAATTTAGAGTAGCTTTGAATTATTGGAGAGCTCTGGTGACATAATGCCTAAGGCATTTGACTGCTAACCAGAAGGCTGGTGATTCAAACCCACCAGCCTCTCCTCAGAAGGAAGGTTGGAAAAATCTACTTCTGCAGTGATACCACCTCAGAAACCCAAGAAGGGGTCGCTATGAGTTGGATCCAACTCAATGGCAGTGAGTTTGATTTGGTTTGATTGAATTATCGGGTCAAAGAATATGAACATTCTAAGATTAAGGTACGTATTGCCAGATGGCTCCTCAGAAAGATTTTACTATTTCATATTCCTTCTTAAGTCTGTAATTACCCATCTCAACACACTGTACCAACACTGAATAGTAATTGAAAAAAAAAAAAATTGTTGTTTATGCAATAAGTAAAAATTAGCCTCTGTCCTAAGTGTTTTCCTCTCCTTCTCTCTCTTCCTTACCCACCAGTATTTGCTGCACTTCATTGGTCAAGGGCCAGCAGCCTATGGACCCTTCTGTGCTGAACGCCTGAGACGCACCTACACCAATGGGGTGCGCACAGAGCCACCCACCTGGCTAGAGCTGCAGGTAGGTGTCAGCAGGAGCAGGCAACAGGTAGTGTGGGCAACTTCTCTTAGGAAAGGTCCTCTGTCTTGTACTAGGAGGCTGCAAGTCATCTCCTGTCACACTTCCTTACTGCTTCTTACCATTTACTCAAGCCTATCATGTCTCCCTGCCACTCTCCATATTTTACAGGCTTGGTTCATAGCAGCTGTGTGAGTATAAGGAACAATAGCTCTTATGGGCCTGAAAATGTTCCAAATTGCTGGTCTTAGAAATTTGAGAGAGCTCTTCTGACCATGTGTGATTCTAAGTCTCAATCTAATCAAAGCTCAGGGCTCTGATCTAAAAGCAGGCCAGCCTGCCTGCTGGCTGCATCACTGAAGCTGTTGGAGATGCCATGTGGAAGCACACAGATTGGGGATGCATCAGGAGCATTGTTCTTCATCCTTCATTGTCCCCCTGGTCAGGCAACAAATGTTGGTGGGGCCTCAGTGTTAATTCTGGCAGAGCCCTGTGGCTGACATTGGGCCTTCAGGAGGTCCACAAACTCAGGAAATGTGGAGATGGGCAAACAGGAGCAGTGGGCTTAGGTAAGATGTGGATGGTAGGCTGGCCTTCACTCTGAGGCTTGAGAAGCCACAAGCTACTGGGGCCCCCATCAATTTCATACAGCCAGACAGGAAGGGTTACACTACCATGAGCCAGACAGCATGTTTGATCAGTAGCCAAGCCCAAAGGGCAGAGGATCCTATGTCTCTATCTGTCACCCAGGCTGTCAAGTCAAAGAAGCACATCCCAGTCTATGTCATCCTGGTGACTGGAGAGAGCCTAATCGTCATGGTCGACTCAGCCTCCACAGCACGGGAAGTCTGCCTGTATATCGCTCGCAAGCAGGGCCTCAGCGACCATCTGGGCTTTTCTCTCCACATCGCTGTGTATGACAAGGTACTTCCCACAAGTCCTGGCCATCACTCACCACCCTCAAACACCTAGGAGACGGCCCCAAAGCTCAATCCCTCACCCCAGGATCATCTGGCCAACACACGTGTGTGTGTACACAAACACATGCACAGATACACAAAGAGACATCCATACACACATACACATATGCATACAAATATACAAGGTATACATATGACATACACACTTAAATACACAGAAGTGCCTGCACAACCAGCAGTCTGCCCTCCTGACCCAAACATTTACATACACAACCACACCAGCTATACCTCAGACCCAGTGTCACACCCATACCTATTGCTTCCATACCACAAATTCTCTGTAATTTCCCTGTCACTCCCCTGGCTGGGCAGTCCAGAGTTCCCTGATCACTGCCACAAACTAACAGTTAGGGGTTCTAACCAGCCCACACACTCAAACATCTTGCCCTGACTAACCCTCTGCTGACAGCTGCAGACCCCCATTCTTTTCACATAATGGGGTGGGAAAGGTCACACTGGAATAGCCCACTTAAACCATGCATGGATGCCCACCCACACACCTATATGACCATTCCTGCCCTGTGGACACCTTACACCCTCAAACACAGACACATTCACACCAACTAACCAGGTTGTCACTGAGATCAACAAGTGCTTCCTTTGGCCATACCTATTTAGAGAAACCCTTAGGCATTCAGAAGCCTTTCCTCTGCTCAGTGGAAGTGCATAGTAGCCAGCTTGGTCCCACACCTATGTGGAGTTCTGAGGTCCCCAACCTCCAAGAACAGCCCATCAATAGCGAGCACATCTTCCATACACATGTGCAGAGGGTGGGCATCCCCTGGGGCTGTGAGCTCCCAGCAGCCACTAACTCACTGCCTGGTTCTGGCCTCAGTTCTGGTCACTGGGCAGTGGGCATGACCACGTGATGGATGCTATTGCCCAATGTGAGCAGCTGACCCGGGAGCGGGGTGAGAGTGAACGCCAGTCACCCTGGCGCATCTACTTCCGGAAGGAGTTCTTCACCCCCTGGCATGACTCCAGGGAGGATCCTATCAGCACTGAGCTCATTTACCACCAAGTCCTCCATGGAGTGTGGTCTGGCGAGTACAGCTTCGAGAGGGTAAGGAGCCTAGAAGTAGGGAGCCTAGAAGGCAGGGGATGCAGAGACCGGCCAGTTAGTGGCTCTGAAAGGCTTTTATCTGTCATAGAGAGAAAGGCTGCTTACAATTGGGCCCTAACACAGGGTCCCATCTAACTGAGTTCTGGCAAAAGCCTTTGATCAGTGAAGAGTGAGTCCTTGTCCACATTTACCTTGTGATAGTAGCAACACTGGGGTTCCATCCAAGCCCCTGATCCTCTCCAACACTCCCTGGCTCACCGAGGGAGGTGGCAGAGGAGCATGGGTGTCTCTCTTGTTCTCAGTTTGCCAACAGAAGAGCCACCTGCACTGGGTGAGAGTGGTTGTTTTGTTAGGGGAGGGGCAGGTCCTGCCTAATGGACCAGTTCTCACCCAAGCTTCTTATCAGTTCTACTGTGTTGGGGAGACATAGCTTGAAAAGGGGGCCACATGGAGGATGCTCCATCTCCCCTCACCTGCCACATCTACCCTTGGGACTGTGCAGGAGGAAGAGCTGGTGGAGCTGCTGGCCCAGCACTGCTACGTGCATCTTGGCACCTTGGAAAGGAGTGAGGCCATCCAAGAACTGCTACCCAGTTGCATCCCCACAAAGCTGTACAAGACCAAGCCCCCTGAGAAGTGGGCTAGCCTCATTGCTGCTACACAAACCAAGGTCAGCCTCCCCACAGCCTGGACATTCATGGGAGGTGCTGTCTACCTTGTAATCTGGATGCATCCATCCTGCAACCTGGGTGCATCCACCCTGAATTCTGAGTGCACCTACCCTGCAACTTGGGTGTACAGAGAGGATAAAGCCCTTTTATCTCCATAATTGGCCTTCCACCCTTTCCCCCTTGAGTAGTGGGAAAACTTAAACTTGCTAGTTAAGGCTAACTCAGGCACCTTAAAGTTAAACAGTATCATTCAGCTCAGCTCCCTACTACAGGCCACTCCATCTTACCTTTTCCTTTCAAGTGAATTTGGAGATACAGGCAGGAAAGCCCATCCTTGTGCCAGTCCCTCCTAGAGCATCAAGCTAGTTTTGGCCTCTTTGGCCTGCAAGGGTATCCACAGCTGTTGATCAATGATCATGCCTGGGCATCAAAACCCTGCCCTTGAAAGCTTCCCCTTCCTGACCCCCAGCCTCCACTTGTCCCTCCCAGGCCTTGCATGCTGTGTGATGGTCAGGAGAATGGGAAGGCTGTCCCCCTCTTCTGCCACTACTGGGTCCACTTCCCCACATAGACATAGGCCAGGGCAGAGCTCCCCCAGAGGTTCATCATGTCCCTCTTCCATGGTCACCCCCAGGCAGCATTCTCAGAATCACCCTCACCAAAGGATATTTCTTCTGTGCTCCCTGAATTCCCACCTCAAGAGAGGACAGCCAAGACACACCATCTGATTTCTTAGCCTGGACTACATCCCTCTGCTCCTTTGTTGGAATGCCCTTCTTCCCAGGGATTGGCAGTCCACAGCTGTGTCAGGTGTTCAGAAGACTCAGTTGATGCAGCTGCTATAGGACAACTGTGCATGTGGAGGCACCAAGGATAAAAGCCTAGAGATTAATGACCCCTGATTACCCATGACACTCTAGGCCAAGAACAAGGCAAGGAATAAGAAGGCAATACCTGCTTGCAAGGGGATCACAGCCCAATGTCAAGAAGATAAACGCCAGGGTAGTGATGCAGACAGTGAGTGCTATCAGAGTTCAGAAAAGGGCAGAGGAGACAACATGAGAAGCAGTCACCATTCTGCTGTCCAAGAGAGGGGATTCCCAAAGCATGGGCCCCTGTCCACTTGGGAAATTGCTGCTTGCTTTGTCCTGCTCCTAGTGAATCACAATGCACAGTCATTTATTAAAAGCTTTGTGCAGTAAAGAAGTCTGATTGTATTGCCCTGTAATATTTCCCAAACATGTTTGACCACAGAACCTCTATTCCACAGATTGCTTATTAGCCTCCCCTGGGAATACTCCTTGACAGGACAACCCTATGGTCATTTCTGGTGCTGTCCAGCCTGAGTGAATGCATTTGCAGGAGAGACCATGGATTTTTAGGACTCTAAGACTTGGGGTGGTACAGAGGAACACATGAACACAAGTAATTGGGAAGGGGGAGTTTGGTAAGGGTAAATAATTATTAAATGCTTACCCTACCACTGTTTTTTTTTTTTCCAAAGTGAGCATAGCTTTACTGACTTTTTAATTAAACACAGAAAATATACATTACCAAATAAATCGGAAAATACAAACAAAAATATGGTATCACTAATAATGTCACATCAAAGATATCATCACATTGTGGTATGTATCATTCTAGACTGATTTCTGTTCATCTATACACAACTGAGAAATGGATATCGTTCTCTCTCTCTCTCTCTCTCTCTCTCTCTCTCTCT